CAACGACTCTCGCGATTACAGTACCGACTCCAACCGAATATTTGCGGTACAACGAACTCGCGATTACACGATGCGAACACACGCGCAAGAATAGTATACACATTCGCAATCCAGCTGGTAGGGACCGGGATTCGGACCGCACGCATTAGAGCCTAAACGCGCAATGCAATCTGCCTGGGTGCAACCACCACAGTCTGTCTGGACGGAAGCATTACGAGGTCGGCCGGCGACAGTTACCGTTGCTCTGTCGCTGTTAGGTCGTCCATACAAATTATGATGGTTCCTGCGTATGATTACATTTTGACCTTTGATTAGAGTAAATGCAAACTAGCGAGCTCAGTGACGGAACCAGAATTTTTGGACAGATTATAATAATGGGTCTGTCCGTAAAAATAAAATTTAATTTATAGATCAGAGTATGTACGTAATTTCACGATTTTTTTTTCTTCCACTGCTTGCAATTACAACAGATGTGTCGCCTCTAGGTCAGCTAAGGATCTCGAGAGCGAGTTTCGTACCTGAGATTGATCTGTTCGTGTCCTGTAGTGCGGCTAGAATCGTTGTTGGAAGCAACTGTCGTCGGAGCAATCGTTCTTGCTGATTCGCTCCAAGGCAGAAGGGCTGCGTGCGTGCATAAGATGAAGGGAAGCAAGATGGCCAACTTAGTGATTGGTATCATCATCGCCATTGCTCTGCTGGCCGGGTATTCTCTTGAAGGTTAATTAAGTGGTGGTGGGAGTAGCTGCTTATATACAAGTTCAAGAGTGCTAAGGATTTGGATATCTTGGTATATAGTGTAATAATTCATTAATATAATGCTGTTATTCGGATGAATTGGAATTTCGGCACACAATAATTAAGTAAATATTTTGCCGGGGTTCGATCGTAACGAGGGGAAGAGGCAGTGTTTGTGTTGTATGTTCCAATGTAGGTAACTTGGTCATTGTTATATACAAGTATCTTGGCCGGGGTTTGTAACGAGAGAAGAGGCGGTTGCAGGGATCTCCGGCGGCCTGTCCGTAAGGTCTGCCGGTCGGCGACGAAGTCGAGAGAGCATAGTCGAGAGCAAATTTTGGAGTTATTAGCCATTATTCACATCAAGTTATTATACATATAAATTCTAATGTTAGAATTACCAACATCTATCTATGATTTAATTTAGCAGATGGTGCCGTGGGACCTTAGTGTTAGCACCTACTAACAATTAATACAAGGGTATAATAGTAACTTTTCCCGTACCCTTCTCCCTTCCCAATTTAAACTCTCCCCTGACCCCTCTCTCTTCTCAAATCAAATCCATGGCCACAGGTATCCGACCGTTTCCGACCTAGTCAACGTGAGGAATCCCCGCATTGATTGGATATGGGTAAAACCCGCAAAATGTTTGATATGTATGGGGCGGGTATGGTTTTAGCCTCCCCCGCCCCATACCCATACCCGCCCCACTAAGAGCATTTCTTCTCATATAAAAAAAAATATATGGATAAAATTGTGAGAAAAGAAGGAGAAGTTGGAGTTTGGAGATTTTGGGTAGTAGGAACTAGGAAGAGTGAACGAAAGAGATGAGAAAAGAGTAAAGTTGAGTGTTATTTCTTCTTTTTTTTCCCAATAAAACCCGTCAACACTTCTATTAAATATCAATACAAGTATACAACTGCAACCAAATAATTTTATTGGGTATGCAACCAAATTATTTAGTTATTTAATACTCATGTTTAAATTCATAACCAATAATATTTAGTTGGGGAAAGTAAAAATCAATATGTTACCAAATTATTTGGTTGGAAAAGGTAAAAATCATTTTGCTACCAAAATTATTTGGTTGGAAAAAGTAAAATTATTTTGCTACCAAATTATTTGGTCTCTTCAAGTTTTATTTGGTTATCAATACTTTGACTTTAATAGACAACCAAATTTTTAATATTTTAGCTACCAAAATATAATTGGTTGTATATACTACCCTTTTCACAACCAAATTTAGTTTGGTTGTAAACTTTTTGGTTGCAAAAGCTAGTTTTTGTTGTAGTGGACTAAAATTACGATCATCAATTCCAATAGCGTTTAGAAAATACGAGATTTCATGTAAAGGGAATGAACTGATCGACATATTAAAGTAAAGGGATTAAACGGATAGTTTAGCCAAGCTAAAATAAACATGATAAAAGAATAACAAGGATAATAAAAAGACAAAATTACGTTTGACATTAGAACAATTTTTATTTGATAAGATGAGTGTTATAATATATTTTTCAAGACAAGCTCAAAGAGTATGGTACAACGACTCGATTACAAACCCGATTCCAACCAAATACGCGGTACCACGACTCGCGATTACAAGACCGACTCCCGAGGCGTATTATAATTGACAAAAAGCTGATAATTTCATAGACGATCCGCTTACAACCATTTATTATTCGAATAATAAACCTTAGCTATATAGCGCCTCTAGCTAATAGAAGGGTAAACACACGCAAGAATGGTACACGCATTCGCAATCCATGTAGTGATACTCATCACACGAATCATAGTCTAAATGCGCAATGCAATTTGCCACGGTGCAACCACCACAATCTGTCTCAACGGAAGCATTGCCGGAAGTTTGACGAGGTCCGCCGCCGGCGACAGGTACTACTGTTGCTCTGTGATCACTGCTGCTAGGTCGTCGGTACAAATGATGGTTCCTGCGTATTATTACATTATTGACCTTGGATTAAAGATGCTATATTCTTTTATGGTATAACTTGAACTTGTACAACTTTATGTGATTGTACAACTTTATGTGTTGCAATTTTCAACTTGTGGAAGTGCGTCAGAGATCGCTTGGGATCGAGAGTTTCGTACCTGATGAGATTGATCTGATCATGTTCTGTGCGGATGGAATCGTTGGAATTAGCAACTGTCGTCGGAGCAATAATCGTTCTTGCCGATTCGCTCCAAGGCAGAAGCGCTGCATGCATGTATGCGCTCAGGAAAATCATCAGGAATACTTTATGTATATATATATAAATCGAGCACAGGAATGAAGAAGGAATTACATGCAGTACATACATGGGATTACGACGAACCACAAAATGAAGGGAAGAAAGATGGCCAACTTAGTGATAGTATTATTGGGCATGTTCATCATCATCGCCATGGCTGCTGGGTGTTCTTGAAGCTTAAGTTGTATGGAACTATGGATGTTGAATTGATGAGTAGTACTGGTGGTAGGTAGCTTCTGCTTATATACAGCATCGATGAAGAGAGCTCAGGATTTGGATATCTTTTTATATAATAATCAGTGAATAACGCTGTTATTCATTAATAATGCTGTTATTAATGATGAATTGTAATTCATTAATAATGCTGTTATTCGGATGAATTGGAATTCCGGCACACAACTACTTGATTAATTATCTTGCCGGGGTTTGCAACGAGAGAAGAGTGAGGCGGTGTTTGTTTGTATATATGTTCCAATGTGACTTCATTGTTTGTTATACAAGTATCTTGCCGGCCGGGGTTTGACGTTGCATCCCGATGTGATATATGTTGAGTTGTTGACCAATGATTAGAGTGTTGATGATTGTAATTGATCCACCTCTAAAAGTTGAAATTGACAGATTTGTTGTAATTGCAAGTAGCGAAAACCAAGTGAAATTGGGTACTCTATAAGTTATATTTTATTGTATTTTATAAATTGCACACCTGTTAAAAAAGACATGGGTCATCGAGACTCCTCCCATTTTCGAATAGCACTTTATTTCTTGATTTCCATATTCTCCACAATAGGCACACTACATGGAGAATATGGATTTGGGAGGTTGGGACTGCTTATGCAGCATAACTTGACGTCACCATAAGCTAAAGTTAACTCTTGGGGCCGAATTCAATGTTTTCGGTTTTTTGTTTAATAATCACACTTAGGCCCCAAAACCAGTGGCGGAGCCACGTTTTTAGCAGGAGGGGTTATAGCCTCCTCAACTCTCGAAATTGTGTAAATTTCACAGCAAATTTGTATAATAGAGTACGTAGGTGGTAAGACTTTAACCCCTCCTCCCCGGTTCAAACCTGTAAATGTAACTTTTTTTGCCCCACTCATTCAGATTCCTTGCTCCGCCACTGCTAAGAACTTCTCCATTTTATATTTTTATTACAAACATGTCGCTTGCTTTTTTCTCTTACTCCTGTTTAGCTACCATTATAGGTATAGAATAAGCTTAGCAGGTCTCGTACGGATCTTGTATCTAAGGATTTGTGCTATAATATCAGCATGAAGAGCAAAACCTTATTTATTCATTCTAGCAGTACTAGAGGTGGCAAATGGATTGGATTGGTGGATTGGTGGATTGGATTGGTGGATCCATGGATCAAATAGATTGGATCTAATGGATTGGTGGATTCATGGATTGGATCAAGTGGATTGGTGGATTATCCATGAATCCAAATGACATCCTCAACCAAGGACCAATATGTAAAATGTAAAAAGTTGAGGTACTAAAATGTCACAATGAAAAATTTTAGGTACCAAAACGTAATTTTCCAATGATATTTTTCGTATAAAAAATAAAAGTTTAGGTACCAAAATGTAAAAAATAAAAATTATAGGTACTAAACCGTAATTTGCCAATGATCCATGGATACAATCCATGAATCCACCAATCCAATTAGATTGGATTTAAATGGATTGGATTTAAATGGATTGGATTAGGTGGATATTTTTAATGGATTAGATTGGTGGATTGGATTGAAATTGCCACCTCTAAGCAGTACTCTTATTTATGCACAAAACTGAAGTCATTTGTTTTTGTACATAAATATCTAATATGGTACTTAGAAAAGCCTTGCATCTTATTTTTACACATAACTTAAGCCTTTTGTTGTAGTACACAAATATATAACATATATAGTAGGATAGTCGATAAGCCTTCACATCTTATTTATAGACAAACTTGAAGCCTTTTGTTCTTATGTATAAATATTTAACATAGTATATAGATAGGGTAATTGTCGATCTTTTGCCTTTTCGGTCCATCTGCAATAATCAAGTGAGGTGATTCACTTAGGGTGTTAAAAGGTAAGTCGGACTCCGACCATAATATAATCCGACAAACATTACGGAAATAGTTGCCTTTACCAACATGTGAAATGTGTTATAAAAAAAAAAAAAAGGGTTGATGCATCTACAATGATTCTGGTTTGGAGTGATGAAAAAAGATATTATGTTTCTAATGGAATGACTTCAAATTCAGGATTAGAAGGGAAGTGAATACTACTCTATTTCAATGTGAAACTCAATAATTAGGGAACTAAATATGAGTGCACACTTGAATAATCTCTTTGTGTGTAATGGAGTTGGGCGATTCACATCAACGATACAGCTAACATTGGGAATTAATTAATTGGAATAAACATTCATCCATAATTAAATGTGAAATCACATACCTACCATTTGACGTCGTGGAGCCGGCAAAGCGGCAACCACAGCTTCCCCTATCTATGGTTTTGCCGCCACGCCGGAATAGGTAGGCAGTGGAGATAATAGTAGTTATGTGTGTAATTACTGTAATGTACGTATTGAATTAAGTTATCGCAAACTCTTGTTGTATTAAATAAGTAAATTTTACTCGAGATCGCAAAAGCAAGATTTAAAATGAAGAGTACTGATCATCGACTAATATAAATAAATCACAATATGGATTATCAGAAAAATAGTGCACCTAATTAGACATTAGTATTTCAGGATTGGAGCTATGTAATAAATACAATTACTGGTTCATGATATTGTCTGCAGAAAGTTGGTCAGTGTTTATGAGTTTTAATCATGTGCTCTAAGCTGAAGTTTAGGTTTGTGCTCCGTGTTCTTTTTTTAGCTTCATTGCTTTAGACATTTGCACTTTTATATGAATTCATTTGCTGGAATCAAGTTGATCACAGAGAGGGAGAATCCACTAATTTGTGTACGAATGCACTAATTAGTCTAAACTATGTTTTAGCCTTTTGATTTAAAACTTGATATTTTGCTAATATTCATCACCTTTTAGCTGATTGATGATGTCATGGTCTTCTCACTTCAACTTTTAATGTTCTTTTTTGTTCTGTAGTGATGCAAATTAGGGGTGGGAAACAATCCAATTCGGTTTAAACCGGACCGGATTGACCCGGTTTTTTGAAACCGTATTAGACAACTCCACAATCGTAGACGAGATTGGATTGTTACCCGGTTCAACCGTGACCGGACTGGATTGAATCCAGTTTCAAACCGAAAAACCGGATCACCTTCTCCATCCCAAAACACAGTCGTTTCAATACCAAAATATTACCCTCCTTCTCTTGCCAACCACACAATCCAATCCCTATTCACTACCAAAAAATTGCCCTCACCATTCTTCCTTCCCAGCTACCTTCGCGATGCTTCTTCTTCCTCTCCCTCCTTCTCTTGCCAACCACACAATCTAATCCCTATTACCTACCGAAAAATTGCCTCACCATTCTTCCTTCCCATCTACCTTCGCGATGCTTCTTCTCCCTCTCCCTCTACTGGATCCAACCAAATACAAACAAGCAGCTCTGCCTATGAGCTCGATTAAAGTAAGAGAGGCGAGAAGACTTGGATCTGGAGAAGCGATTAGAGTCGCGTGAGTCGGGAAGGGGATGCATGTTGTCGGCCGCCGCGTCTTGATCGATCAAATATCCTCGCCGACTCCGTCACCATCGCCGTCGCGCGCTGGGAAGTTGGAGAGCAGAGGACCTAGCAGAAGTCAAATCGGACGGGATGGACGACGGGCGATGGAGGGAGGCGATTGGCGTCTGCGAGTTCTGGTGGCGGAGTGGCGATGGTCGGCGACGGGATGGATCCAATGGTCGGATTTTCTTCTTCTCCTACTCCTCTTGTGTGGTGGGTCGGTGAATGGGAAAGAGAAAGTTGAGGGTCGAAGGGGAGAGAACAGAGGAGGGTGATTAGGATTTGGGGTGGTGGGGGACTGGGGGTGGGTTGTTTGGGCTGGGATATTAGCGGGCTAGGCTTGTTTGGGCTGGGATATTAGTGGGCTGGGCTATTATTTGTTTATTTATTTTCTGTTGTCCGGTTTTTCCGGTTTTAACCAAATCGGAAGGGCCTGTGAGTATTACAACTGCAAACTGGATTGGATTGGTTGGGATCCGGTTTTCAGTTGCAACCGGCACGGTTTAAACGGGCCGGTTTTCGGTTTGACCGGAAAACCGGGACTGGATTTCCAGCCCTAATGCAAATGATGCATGACGGTTCTTCCTGTTGCTGAAAGCCAAAACAATCCCCTGCCATATGTGATTTATTTTGTAGTATTATTGGGAGCAACTGGTTCTTGACAATTTCATACCATCAATTCCCACAAAATAAATTATATCTAAACGTGGTATTTCGTTCAATTTCCACAAGTCAATTCCTTGGTTTTGCAAAACATGAAAATTCAGAAAAATTCCCACATTTTCAAATTTTCACATCCAAACAACCCCTAGAGTCTGTCTAATCCAATGAGCATGGACGCTGCTATTTCCTAGTAATTATGCAAAGCTAGGGTTGTGCGATGGTCCGGTATGACAAGGATCAGATCAAACAATAAGAGCTGCGGTCTAATAATAAAATAAATTTTAGAACCAGTAATTGGATCATTATTGTATTATGTTTGGTGTGGTCTGGTTCAAATACCAATTCGATTCATTTTTTTGAAATATTTATAGAAGTTTATGGAATCAATCATGAGGATGAGGATGCTTGAGCTCTCACCATGAGGAGAGATGCAGATGACGATGCTTGAGCTCTCACCATGACCACACTCACCATTGAGGACTAATTAAAATTACGTTCATCAATTCCAATAGTGTTTAGAAAATACGAAATTTCATGTAAAGGGAATCAAATGATATAACTAAAGTTTGTGAACTAAAACGATCGACATATTAAAGTAAAAGGATTAAACTGATAGTTTAGTCAAGCTAAAATAAACATGATAAAAGAAAGGATAATAAATATAATCATAATATTAATAAAAAAACGTGAATGCACAAAATGTGAGCACGTTTGATACTAGAACCATTTTTATTTGATAAGACCGTATTATTATAATATTATATTTTTTAAGGCAAGCCCAAAGAACACACGTCACGCGGTACAACGATTACAAGACCGACTCCAACCAAATACACGGTAGCACACCATTCCTCCCACAAAGCTTGCTCGCAAAAACTGTTGCTGGACTCACGTTAGCTAGGAATTGCAGGGAAAAAAGGTACGCCTCTATTCTATTGACGCGCGCGGGGTTTACAGACGCAACTATTGGTTTCACAGTCGCAATCCAGGTAGTAATCGATAGGCTCACCACAAACATAGACTGACTTCTATAATAGCTCTAATAATCCTACACATACTCTAATAATTACAACGGATATGTCTGCAATTACAACTTTTCGAGGTGCATCAGAGATCCTTGGTTAGCTGGGATCGAGTTTCGTAGTACCTGAGGTTGATCTGACTATGATTTGTGCGGCTGGAATCGTTGGAAGCGACTGTTGGATCGAGTTTTATAGATCGAGCACGTAATTTCATTGTTTATTATCACTGCTTGCGATTACGAATTGTTGCATGCGAACACAAAGATTATGTTAGAAACCCGTTTAGGTTATTATATTTCAGCTTATAATATTAGGTGATATCATTTTACTTGGTTGTTAAATTATGTTTATTATTAGGATATCCAGTATTTTAGTATAAATATGTTTGCGAGTTTTTATACGAGAATTAATCGAGAACAATATTAGAAAAAAACATTTGACCCCAACTTCTCTTTCTCTCTCCCGATAAATCTCTTCTATATCTTCTCTCGAGGCTTCCGCCGATTCTCTCTTCCTCTCTTGTTCCCTAAATCCAAATTCTGATCCTCTAATCCCTCATTACATTCTCAATCCCTAAATCCTTTCTATTCTATCTATCCTACCCCGTTACGAATAAGTTCATGCAGTACATGCAATTAGGACGACCCGTAAGATGAAGAAAACCAAAATGGCCACCTTGGTGATACTAGGCATGCATGATCATCATCGCCATGGCGGGGCGATCTTGAAGTTTATGTTGGATATGTGTGAATAGATGGTAATCACTGGAAGTAGTTAATTAGTAGGGTTGAGACTGGATAACAAACAATCCGATCTCATATTTGGGCTTAGATTTGAGGTAAAAAACCGTTTGGGACCGGACCAAAACCGGATAAAGACCCGGTAAGAGAGCCCAACACCCAAAACTCCACTAAAATCTCCACAATCTCAATCTAAAATCAAGAACGAATTGAGACCGGATCGGGTCAAAACTGGACCAGATCAAGTCCGTGTATTCAATCCAATCCTTGGTTCTTATATTCCCGAAGAGACCGGACTGAGAGCGGATCATGTCAAGAACCAGTTGATCCCAATAACTCGAGCTGTTGAGAGGTTCAATTGTGGATCATATACCGTTTACTAACACCCCCCTTCAAACTCAAGCCATTCAGATAGGCTTGAAGTTTGGACAGGCACAGGTCCGGACACCGTGTGCTTAACAGAAACAGATGGGGGTCACCGGGAATCGAACAGAAGACCTCACGGTCACAGAAAGCTCTGATACCATGTCAAGAACCAGTTGATCCCAATAACTCGAGCTGTTGAGAGGTTCAATTGTGGATCATATACCGTTTACTAACAGATCAATTCGGGCCAATTTAACCGGACCGGACCGTATAGCCACCCCTAGTAGTTAGCTGATTATATACCATATCAAGAATGCTCAGGATTTGGATTTATATCATTGATGAACAGTTTCTCTTGTTTGATTGAATCAATCTTTAACTAAAATGTCGAATAGCTATCTCGAATTCAAGTTGATTATGTTTCCCTTAACTTGCGTTTCCCGTGTAAAGCTGGTCACCTTAACCAGTCATATCTATACCCATTTATAGAGATTCAAAATCTGAATCTCAAATTAAAGCTATGAAAGAAGTAGTTACTCCCACTGAAAGGGCCTAGGTTCATGTGCTTAAGCCCAAAAGTTTAAGCATATGCTTAAACCAATACTATTGGCTATTAGTAAACTAGGTAGTTAATAGGAGTTATTAGTTAGTAATTAATTAAGGGTATTGAGGTAAATCATGTATTTTATTTATTTAAAATTTAATATAATTCCACAATTAAAGGAAACTAAACGTGAATCACGAAACAAATAAATCTGCCTTTTCTCTTCCCTACGGGTGCCAGCTCTCCTTCTGCCTTTTCGTTTCCGGCCGGCAAGGAAGGTTCATGATTTCGACTAGGGAGCTTGCCATCGTCAAGGAAGGATAGCGCGGTGTTCGTCGTCGTCGCTTAACGAAGAGGGAGTTGGTCATCGTCGAGGAGCCGGTCGTTGCTTAACAAATAGGGAGCTTCTTGTTGTTGTCGTCGCTTTACCTTCTGGTGTTCTTTGTCGTCGCCGAGTTTGTTTGTCACCGAGGCCGCTTGTGGCCGTCGAGTAGTACTGTTTGTGAACAATTAATGGTGAATTGGCTTTAATCTTTTGTGTTAAAACTTAAAACATACATTGTTGTCAACGTTTTGTGTTTGTCAACAATTAATGGCAAATTGCCTTTTAGTAACAAATATTCTTCCATCGTCAACAAAATACACAGAAGATATTAAGGATTTACAATAGCATTGTTGATAGTTTGGTTGTTAAATTTGTTATATTTTGAATGGAAAACCTCAGTTTCTTTAACATTTTTTGTGGTATCTGACACTTAATATTGAATCATTTCATTATTAATGATTATGGCTTGACCGTCACCAAATTTCAATTTCGTTTTCAATGGTTTGTTGTTACGTTATTAACGATTTTTTACCTCTATCAACTTAGCATACTTTTATTACAAGGTTAATGTTATCAACATTGATGTAATGTTAACAATCACTTCATTATTAATAATTGTGGCTTTGTTGTCAATGAATTTCAATTTTGTTATCAATGTTTTGTTGTAACATTGTTATCGATTTTAAGTCCATTGTTAACAATCTAATGTAATGTTATCAACATTGATGTAATTAATTGTAATCAATATTAAAAATTACAAGAAATCTAATTATTGACGTTTTAAGCACATTATTAACAATCTAATGAAATGTTATCAATGGTTATGCGATGTATCATTAACGATATAACAAAATTATTATTAACGTTTTGTTAATAACTTTTTGCTCATACAAAAATATTGTTAACGATATCTCGTTGTTGTTTTTTTATCACAAATCATATAACTTTAATGGTTACCCCCAATTAAAATATTAACGGTTCTTGGCCCATTGTTAACAATCTTCTATTCTCGTATCAAATGTTTCGGGGATGTATCATCAACGATATGAAAAACATTATTAATGATAACTCATCATTATTCAAAAAGAAAACATAAAACGTTAGCAACAAAATATATACACACGAACACGATATTCAAATATATGCATAACGGCGGATGCGCGTCCGGTATCCCGCTGAGGGCGACGACATAACAGAAGTCTCCGTGTATAAATACTATCGACATGTTGGCGGCGGAATGGCGACGAGATGGTGGACGGGTTGTCGGCATAGGAATGGCAGAGGAATGATGGCGTAGGAGAGACTGCGGCCTTTGCCGATAGGAGGACTGGCCGGCGTTGGCGCGATCACCTATTCTAGACGTTGTCGCCGGTGGGTGGATGGCGGCAGCCGACAGGATGATTGATGCCATGCCGGGAGGATGGGCTGCGGGTGGTACAAATACAAAATTGTTTAGGCTTTTATTTTTTGTTTTTTCTCTTTCTATTAATTAGTAGTTTTTTCCTAATACCTAATTTACCCTTAATAATAATCTAACTAACAACCTGTAATAAATTAACAAGAATACTTCCAACCAATAGAATTGGTTTAAGCATATGCTTAAACTTTTAGGTTTAAGCACTGGATCTGACCCGGACTGAAAGACAACATACAAAATCTGAATCTCAAATTAAATCAGGAAGCTCTTCCATTTTGACGTGGCACCTCCCATTTCTCATATCATGAATGCAGCCCCTATTTCACAATTTGGAAGATTTTACTAGATGGAAGACCCAATGAAATGCCACGTGGGTGGGGAGTGGGCCTCTATCCCACATTTTGCTCTTTTCCTTCTTCTTTTTTTGTTTCCATCTTGTTTTGTAGTTTGTAACACATTGTAATTTAATTTTTAAAATATGAACACGCAATATATATATATATACGACAATAAAAAATATTAAATACATATATATATAATACTTAATAAAAAACATTAAATAAAAATACGACAATACATATATAGAAGTCTTAACGTGTAACACAAACCAAATACGCGTACGTCATTACACACCGACATAAATTATTCAAAGCATAAAATAAAATCACTTATCGCCCAGTAACTCTTGGATTTTCTTTTCATACAACATTTTTTGTGCGTCTGTCATCGTTGATAGATCCATTTCCATCAATTTCACAATTAACTTATCTCTCTTATATGCTTCTTTCTTCCTCTCTCGTTCCTCTCTTTTCCTCTCTCGTTCCTCCTCGAGTCTTACCTTTGCAGCCGTGAACTCTTTCAATACCTCTACCTTTCCAGCTTCAATACTAATTTTTTGTTGCACTGTTGCTTGCATACTTTCCACCGAATCAGATGACATAGATGATCTCTTACCTTTATCCTTTGACGCTTTTCTTCCTGGAGAACGAGAATGAGAAACGACCTCACAATCTCCAGTGGGAGGCATGCTTGTATTAGAGGATGATGAAGTATATTGGCCTGAAGCAGTATCCTTATTTTTATGTATTTGTATTAAGTGTGTTTATTTGCAATAGTAATTGTGTTATTTACGTGTGTTTATTTAAATTGTGATTGTGTTGTAATTTGTCATTTGAATATTGTACTTGTGACTTTAATAAAAGTTTCATGTATTTTTATTAAAGTCTACCATTTAAATTCCATAAGTTATTTTTTTAATCAATGAATAAAGCTATAATATATTTTTTAATGAATTAATAAATTTATTTCATCATTGATAATTAAATAATTACAATATATTATTTTAATTATTTGATACATCTTAAATTGGTAAAATCATATAGGTTAGATATAAATATATAGATGTATTAAAAAGTAAGCTGGACCCACCATATGAAATAGATAGTGGATTTCATGGATGTAGAAGAAATGAAAGTGATATGTAGTGAAATAGAAAAAGCTGTTGATGTGGCAGTAGGGGCCACATATGGAATAGAAATGGTATTTCATGGATGTAGATGGTCTTAGGGTACAAAACCATTGTTCATATCATAGAGAGGTAGGGAGCTAGAGAGATAAAGAGAGCTCCACGAAATTTTCTGTCTGTTGCCCGGATTTTGAGGTGACTGGTGTGGATTCCGATGCACTATTAAAACACTTTTAAAATCCCTAAAAATTCAACGGACCATAACACAGTTCTTTTTAAGTCGGATTTCGAAACATTTGCATAGAAATATCAAATTTTTTATGTTCTATAAGATGATATCCATTTTGATATTCTTAGAACAAAAACTTTAATTACTTTAAATATTTGTGTGTTCAACACTCTACATTGTCATACCACTTACCTACTGCGCTATGAATAACGATTTGTAAATCATTCAAATCTCCACTACATCAACATAAGAATACCCGGTGGGTGTGTGCGGGCTAGATGACTAATATTGAATAAAGTATGATACATGTGACTTTTTTTTATAGTTCCGGTGTTGTAGTGGCATTAACCCCAAACTTTATGAACCATAACGTTCAAACTATTAAAATGATGGGATTAAAGTGATAGTTTAGCCAAGCTTAATCAAAGATGATAAAATAATAAGAATGAAAATAGATAAATATTGTATGTACGTGCAAAACGTGAGTGCACCAAACACAACCATACGTTTGGTATTAGAACCATTTTTATTTGATAAGACGCGTATTATGTTATATATATTTTTTTTCAAGACAAGCTCAAAGGGCAAGGTACAACGACTCGATTACAAGACTGACTCCAACCGAATATGCAGTACAAGTGTACAACTACTCGATTACAAGACCGACACAAACCGAATATGCAGTACAAGTGTACAACGGCTCGATTACAAGACCGACTCCTTACACGTATTATAATTGACAAAAAGCTGATAATTTCAGAGATGATCCACTTACAACCATTTATTATATGAGTAAACCTTAGCTAGCTCCTCCCACAAGCTAGTTTGCTCGATCGCATACTTGCGTTAGGAAGCAGGGAAAACTCCTCTAATATTAGAGGACACACGCGCAAGAATTGATTCGACAGTCGCAATCTATGTAGTGATAGATAACCGGACAGCCTTCAGGGTGACGGATAATGCAATCTGCGAAGGTGCAACCAGCATCACAGTCTGTCTGAACGGAAGCATTGCCGGAAGTTTTATGATGCCGGTCGACGACAGGTAATGTTGCTCTGTTACTGTTCAAGTGGTGGTTCCTGCGTATTGTCATATTGACCTCGGATTAAAGCTGCTACATGTCATGAACCAGTTGATCCCAATAACTCAAGTTTTTGGGAGAGGTTCAATCGTGGATCATATACCACAGGTCCACAACACTAACACTACAGACAGTGTCTGTCGGTCCATAAAAATAAAAGAATAAATACAAATAAAATATGACTTATAGAATACATAATTTCTATAATTTTTCACGCATTGCAATTACGACGCAATTACGAATTTTGGAGGTGCGTGAGAGATTCTAGTATGCTAGCTAGGATCGGGAGTTTCGTACCTGAGATTGATCTGATCATGATCTGTGCGGCTAGAATCATTGGAATTAGCGATTGTTGGAGCAGCAATCGTTCTCGCCGATTCGCTTGAAGGCAGAAGGCCTGCATGCATGCATGCGCTCAAGCAAATCATGAAAACTGTGTTGTAATACAATAGAAGGGGTGGGAAAGTGGTGTGGACCATGCACGTGCATAGTTTCGGTTTAATCCGACCGCGAACCCACAAGGCGCTATGAAGGCAGGTCGCATGTCAGATCACAAGTCTTACGGTATGCAGGATTTCGCTGTGCGATCCAAAGTGGTTTGACCGTACCAATGCCCACCCCTAGTATGTAATATAGAAAGCGAGCACAAGAATGAAGAAGAAATACGGTACATACTTGGGATTAGGACGACCCATAAGATGAAGGGAACCAAGATGGCCAATTTAGTGATAGTACTATTGGGCATGATCATCTTCATCGCCATTGCTAGTTGGGTGTTCTTGAACTTGGGTGGGATATATATGTATCTTAGTATCTATATGAGTGGATGTTGATTAGCAGTGGAAGTAGGTAGCTGATTATATACAACATCAAGAGTGCTCAGGATTTGGATATCTTCATATATATATATATAGCAATTCATTAATAATGCTGTTATTCTGATGAATCAGAAGTCCGGCGCATAAGTACTTGTTTGGTGTTTGTGAAACTATACCGTATCGATAGTTTAACCGTAAAAATATTCTATATATCAGTAGGTGTACGCACAATCCTTGTCGGATCTGCTTGACGAGATTAGGGCGGTACGTAAAATTGCCAACAGTGCTGCCTATAGAGTGGCGCGTAGAACACTGTTTTTGTCTCGTCTAGAGCTAGAATCTTTCAATTTTGGGTGGCTTCATTAGATTATATTGTAAGGGGTCCTGAGCAGATTTATATGAATAACTTTTGTTCTCTATTGATATCACTCCGAAATAAAATAAAATAAAAAAAGTGTACGCGCAATCTTGTGATTGGGTAGCCCATTTGGTGGCTCGGAAAGCCCTTTCTTTGTACCCGATCATGAATCGTGCGTTTAATTATCAGGCCTGGCTGTGCTCCAGAATGTAACTATTTTTTATTTCAATATATGATTATCTTTTGTAAAAAAAAAAAAATCGTGTGATTGGGTACAATATTCCGCCACAGCCCACATGTATCTATTTTTTGACTCAAGTTTCTTCATTGCACTTATAATATAATGCATTAATAAATAATAATGATGCCGTTATTTTGTTCAATTGGAAGAACGATAACTTTGTTGCGTACGCATGCATATCATCCAATTATTGGAAGGAAGGTGGTGTTTGTTATCATAATTACTTGTGATGGTCGACAATGAAACAGGTGTTATGGTCGACAATTAATCGACAAAAGCTGCCATTGTGGATTCCGGACTGTTATTGGACTTATCTGAGTTGATGAAATTAGAAGTCGTGAATATGATTTAGACTGTAAAATGTAAATTCACTCAATCTATAGATTTTTGTAGGAAATTAAATTTTTTTGTTGCTTTTTTATTGTTGATTTAGTTTTAGAGATTTCAAATCTCTAAAATATACGGATATCAAATCTCTCATTATTATAGAGATTTTATTTTTCCCCTATTTTTTCTCTTCTATTTATTTATCACATCAAATATATTTATCAACAAAGTTTTTAATATTTCTCGAACCACTATAATTTTTTATTAAGGATAAACATGTTATTTAATATAAAATTTTTATTTTTATTTTCATTGATTGTTGACAATCACTGTTACCAAACAATAAACATTTTAAAATCTGTTTTCAACAAGTCTAAGAGTTATAATTTTTAGATTGCTGACAACCTATAGATTTAACTTCATAATCTCCAAACGAACCCTTAATTGTTTTGGATTTGGATTGGATTCAATTCACTTGTATTGGAAACCATTAGGACGATGTGGGATAGCTGATTAGGCTGTTAACCTAATGACATGGATTCAAAAGGTAACATTTTTCCGGACGTTTTCTTCGAAAGATCAGATTTCTTCGACTTTGAATGCTATAAATGACGCTGTCGGTCTGAGTCTATTATTTATCGATGATAAGTCTATTATAAATTAAGCACTGATTTGAGCATTTTTTATCGGGTCCATTCTTTGCATATTCCAAAAGTATCATCACAAATTTTAGGTGATTTTTTCGAAAGCCATTTTCTTGTATTTTGAAGGCAATCACGGATTCGGTCTGGGACTATTCTTCACCGATAATTAAGTGTATTAAGCACATATTTTAGCGGATTTTCCAGGTTTTTTTTTTGTAGATTCTGTAAGGGTATTATCACAGATTTCAGACAATTTTTTTCAAATAACATTTTTCTTAGATTTTGAAAGCTACAGATCT